GACTGAGCGTGCTACACCTGGAGGAGCCCTCTCCTCCCAGCAGCTACAGGAGAGGTACCTCGAGTACTGCCGCCTCCGGAGAGGTGCTGCTGGAGCTCGTCCCGGTACTTCCCCTCCTACCCAGGAGCTCCCCCCCATTCAGCAGATCCGCGAGTGGTACACACGGCGCTGCAGTCTTCGGAGTGGTGCTCCTGGTGCTGCGGACCCTGGGGGTGGCGCTGCTGCTGGTGCTGAGGACCTGGACGTTGGAGCTGCTGCTGGTGCTGCGGACCCGCCTGGTGGAGCTGCTGCTGGTGCTGAGGACTCGGACGTTGGAGCTGCTGCTGGAGCTGAGGACCCGGGCGGTGGCGCTGCTGCTGGTGCTGAGGACCCGGACGGTGGAGCTGCTGCTGGTGCTGAGGACTCGGACGGTGGAGCTGCTGCTGGAGCTGAGGACCCGAGCGGTGGCGCTGCTGCTGCTGCTGAGGACCCGGGCGTTGGAGCTACTACTGGTGCTGAGGACCCGGCTGGTGGAGCTGCTGCTGGTGCTGTGGACCCGGACGCTGGAGCTCCTACTGGTCCTGCGGAGCCGGCCGCTGGAGTCTCCTCTGCTTCTGGAGACGCTGCGCGGCCGCGACCGTACTTCGTACCGCTCCTTCAGCAGGTTCTTGGGCAGGCTCCTCCTCCTTGTCCTCCTCCCTCCGTAGAGTGTCCTCCGCCTGTCCAGCCGCAGTCACAGTTACCGCCTACCTCGCCTCTCCCTGCTCCCTCTCCTTACACTGGTCCCACAGGAGGTCTTACAGAGCGTCGTGAGCCTGAGTCTCGTCCTGCGTCGCCTGTTCGTCCTGCTCGCACTGGTAGTCGTGTCCGTCGTGAGCGTCCTCCTCCTGTCCCAGGCACTCACTACATGACTCTGCGTCCCTCTACTGCTCCTCAGCGTGTCCCTCTACCGTCACCTCCTGCGTCCTCTTTGCCTGACGTTCCGGACCCTGAGTCTGACCGGTATCGTGCTGAGCACCCTACTGTCACGCGTCTCCTCGCTACTGTTGTCACTGACCCTACCTTTGAGTCCTCGGCTGCGTCTGCTCTGGTCGCTGAGTTGGTTGACTTTGCTGCTGCCTGTCGTCTAGACTACGCTGCTAGCCTTGTTGCTGAGTCTGAGTCTGAGTCTGTCTGTCCTCCGTCTGTCGGGGGTGAGTGTGCTCTTGGCACGGACGTCCTTGAGGACAGACAGGAGGAGTTCCAGTGTCTTGCTGCTGCTTTGCCCCGTCTCGTGTCCTTGCTAGTTGCCCCTGAGGGAGACCCGGATGCACCAAACATCCCGACCCCGCGCTCTTACGCAGAGGCGATGGCAGGTCCCTACTCCTCTCAGTGGCAGGCAGCTATGGACGCAGAGATGGCTTCCTGGAAGTCCACACGCACCTACGTCGACGAGGTTCCCCCTCCTGGGGCGAACATCGTCAGTGGCATGTGGATTTTCAGGGTGAAGCGGCCGCCGGGTTCTCCGCCTGTCTTCAAGGCGCGTTACGTGGCTCGAGGCTTCAGTCAGCGAGAGGGAGTTGACTTCTTCCAGACCTTCTCCCCCACCCCGAAGATGACTACTCTTCGGGTGCTGCTGCACATAGCCGCTCACCGTGACTACGAGCTTCACTCACTTGACTTCAGCACTGCTTTCTTGCAGGGCAGCCTGCACGAGGAGATCTGGCTGCGCCGCCCCCCTGGCTTCACTGGGTCGTTTCCTCCTGGTACCCAGTGGAGACTTCAGCGGCCGGTCTACGGTCTCCGCCAGGCTCCGCGTGAGTGGCACGACACACTGAGGACTACACTTGCGGCTCTTGGGTTCGCGCCTTCTACAGCTGACCCGTCGCTGTTCCTGCGCACCGACACTTCGCTGCCGCCGTTCTACATCCTCGTGTACGTCGACGACTTGGTCTTTGCCACTGCTGATACTGCAGGACTCGCCTACGTGAAGTCGGAGCTGCAGAGGAGACACACGTGCACAGACCTGGGTGAGCTGACAAGCTATCTTGGCTTGCGGATCACCCGGGACAGAGCACGGCGCACCATCACCTTGACTCAGTCACACATGGTGCAGCAGGTTCTCCAGCGCTTTGGCTTCACGTACTCCTCGCCTCAGTCCACTCCTCTGCCTACCGGTCACTCGCTCTCAGCTCTGCCTTCGGATGAGTCCGTAGAGCCGAGTGGCCCGTATCCAGAGCTTGTGGGCTGCCTCATGTACCTGATGACCTGCACTCGACCTGACCTTGCATACCCTCTTAGCATCCTTGCACGCTATGTCGCTCCTGGCCGTCACAGGAAGGAGCACATGGATGCCGCTAAGAGGGTGTTGCGCTACTTGTGCAGTACGTCGGGCATGGGGCTTGTACTTGGAGGGCGAGACCGAGTTGTACTCACAGGGCACTCAGACGCTTCTTGGGCAGACGACCAGGCCACTCAGCGGTCGTCTCAGGGTTACTCCTTCAGCCTTGGCTCTGGCTCAGTTTCTTGGCGCTCTACACGCTCTTCTTCTGTTCTCGGCTCCAGTTGCGAGGCTGAGATCTACGCCACAGCCATGGCTGCCCAGGAGCTACGCTGGCTGACCTACCTGCTGACTGACCTCGGAGAGCCGCCTCGTTCTCCTCCAGTACTGTACGTCGACAACAAGGCTGCCATTGCCTTGTGTGAGGAGCACAGACTGGAGCACAGAACGAAGCACATCGCCCTGCGGTACTTCCTTGCTCGAGAGCTACAGCAGCGCGGTCAGCTTTGTATTCGTTACGTGGCCACTGAGGCCAACACTGCTGATGTGTTCACCAAGGCGCTTCAGCCTCGTGACCATCAGCGCTTCTGCACTCTACTAGGCCTTGTGCCTACTGGACCTCACTTGCTTACCTCTTGACTTTGCTTGTACTGTGATCACTATATATATCTATACCTGCATGTTTACCCTTGCTAGGCTGTGATCACTGTATCTCTGGCTCTGTTATAAACCTGCGTGTGAACTGGTCTAGTGACCACTAGCTTGTGCTCGGAATTTGTGTGGAATCCTCGAGATCCACCCTGAGCTTGTTGTTGCCTTGCTTTGCCTTGACTGGTCTTGTGACCCCTAGGTCTCCCCCACTTTGCCTATGGGGGTGTGTCAAACATTATATATGTTGGGTTTGTTAGGCTACAGTGGGTTAGCCTATATGGGGTACACAATTCTAGGGTTTGCTATTTGTACTGATTTCTCTGTTAGTTCATTCATTCCAGTCTCTTCTTGTTGACATGGAGTACTCGCTAGTGGTCAGAAGCAGGTCGAGGCCTGTGTGTATAGTCTCAAGGTCACGATCATCGGTCTCGTCGTCGTCACTCTTGCAGTCGACGCCATTACCATTTTCCGCCATGGTTGCAATAGGTGAGGTTGAGAATAGTGTGGATCACTAACAAGCATACGACAGATAAACAAACAAAAACCCCCCAAGAGGACCTGCTGAGATTAAGTAGTAGGAGGGTCTCGAATTGAACAAAAAGTCGCACATCTCTTTGCTTTGCTCGCGGCATGATGATTTTATAATTTGGCAAGTGTTTGGGGAAGGTAGGTCAGGCGTCGCATGCGTGGTCATCCAGTCGAAAAAGCGGGTGTAGTGGTGGTGAGTCAAGACAGTATTATTGCTATGTTGGGTGAATTTATTGGCCTCCATTACGCAAGTGACGAAATCTATCACTTGTCGGGTCGGGTGCAAAGTTTGAGGAACGCTAATGTAATTGTTCGTAATTGACGAGTTTGAGGAAAAGAAGGGGGGTTGATGTAATTCCTAAAATTTCGCTAAAGGAAAAATCAGTGTTCAACCCCAATTTAAAGCTCTAGGCCCAAATTGCGCAAGATTAGTAATCTTGCGCAAGGCTTAGGGTTGGGCGACTTGGGAGACAAACGCAAACTCGAGCAGGTGTTCGGTTGGTTTGGTTGGCTGATTTCGCGATATCTCTCGCAAACTTCGCTGAGTCAGTAAACTTAGGGGCAAACTTCCAGCTTGGGACCTCAAGTCCCAAATTGCAGAATAAGCAAACTTGAAGTTTGAGCAGTGAGTTTGGCGACGACCAATCGCATTCCTTCATACCTACTGTAACCCTAAACTCGCCAACTCACAGCACTCAAAACAGCAGCAGGGCAAGATTAGTAATCTTGCCTAGTGCGGCCCGCAATTTGGGCCTTGAGCTTTAAATAAGTCAGAAGGGTTGGTTTGAACGCTGGAAAATCAGAAAAGGTGCATAGGAACTCTAAAAAAAAAAGAAAATAGTCAAGCAATGGGCAAAAAGGCTCCTAAACCTACCTAGGTAAAAAACCCTGAAAAAAGGCTGAATTAGAGTAAAACAACATTAAGGGATTCAGTTACAATCACTAGCGCATTGAATAGGACAAATGCAGCCAGAGCTTCCGTTTGTTAGAAAATTGCGAAACAGGGTGTACAAGCTTCGTTTGGAGAAAATATTCGGCTGGCACGATCAAGATCGAATATGCCGAATTAGTAACCTGTGTGAGGGAGTTCGAGCGGACAATGTGACATTCGGTTTCTGGCAAGAACAGGCCCTAGCTATCCAGACCAGACCGACCTCGAGAGTGTCTGGCGCAGCAGCTCAACTAGTCTCTTCGCTGCCATCAGCGTCCGCTTCGCTTCCGCTCGAGTCGGCCTCGCTGCAGCCGTCCATTTCTCCCCCTCGTTGTTTGGATCTATTCGCGGCATTCCCAAGGCTCCACAGATGCGTACGTCTCACAACGAATCTCACCTCGTCCTCGCGTGTGAGATCCAGATTCGGATTCAGCAAGCTGCAGAGGGCGCTTCGGATTGAAGCACGATGGCCGTGACGATCATAGCGATTAATAGCAGTCAATAACGGTCGCGACGGCTGTAACCATCAGTAGCGGTTAGTAACGGTCGGATCGGCTGTAGCCGTCAATAGGGGTCAATAACGGTCGGGGAGCGGTTGTAGCGGTCAACAGCGGTCAATAACAATCCACGGTGGTGCGCGCAGCGGCGGCGATGGAGGACGTGGTGCTGCCGTCGATCCGCGTGATGCACTCAGGCGGCGGCGCGTTCGAGAGCCTCGCGAGCGATCCGGTGGAGAAGAAGAAGCTCACGCTGGGCGTGTGCGTTATGGAGAAGAAGGTGGGCAGAAGGTGAGAGAGGGACGGTGAGAAGCAGAATTGCGTGATGAGAAAAGAGTAGGCAGACGGATTTTTTGTTTGCTCAAGGAGCAAGGAGGCGCAACCTTCGGTTTTCCAGCCCTGTTCAGAGATTACTACGCGTTCTATCCCGCCTGCCGCCTCCCGCGCCCTTTGATGCCCCCCTCCCCCTCAGTCATCCCCTTTCCGTCATCCCTTCCTTTCCCGCCGTCCCCTTACGCCATCCCCATTCCACCATTCCCTTTCCACCATCCCCTTCCGCGATCCCCCTTTCTGCCATCCCCCTTCCGCGATCCCCCTTCCGCGATCCCCCTTCCACCATCCCCCTTCCGCCATCCCCTTTCGCGACCCCCCTTCCGCCATCCGCGACCCCCCTTCCGCCATCCGCGACCCCCCTTCCGCCATCCGCCTTCCACCGGTCGCGGTCGTCCGGTCCTCCTACTCGACCTGCCACCTCTTGCCCCCACTTTCCCCCCATGACTCCCATTCTTGACTGCCTGGGGCCGCTAATATGCCTGCCGCTTCCTGGTCCCACAATCCCCCCCTTCCTTCCGCCACCCCCTTTCCGCCATTCCCCCTGCAGTCGCGCTCGTCCCCCATGACTGCCATTCTTGACCGCCTGCGCATGTTTGGCGAGGTGGAGGTGAGATCTGGGGGAGGTGAGACCTTGGGGGGGTGAGATCTGGGGGAGGTGAGGCGAGGTGGAGGTGAGGCGAGGTGGAGGTGAGGCGAGGTGGAGGTGAGGCGAGGTGGAGGTGAGACCTGAGGGAGGCTGAGGCATGGGAGGGGGAGTTAGGGGTGAGAAAGGTGGAGGAGAGGGGATGTCACACTATTGCCTGCTTGAGTTTCATTCTTCTCCTCACAGCACGCCCCCCTGCTTGCATTCAGACTCCATCTATTCCTTCTCCTCACGCTCATGCCGCTTCTGCCATGTTGAGGGCTTTTTTTTTTTGTTGCTCATGCCTTGCCTTCCTCCCCATCATGTTGAGGGCTTTTTTTTGTTTTTTTAAAGAATCTTGAAACTTCTTCTTCTGCCATTCCTTGCTTGCCGAATCATGCGCTCCCCTGTGCCTTGGCACCAGGTGATTATATTTGAAGACCGCATGATCCTCCACGACCCCATAGAGAAGTGAGTCATGCCTCCTCGCCTCATTGCATGCCTCCTCGCCTCACTGCATGCCTCCTCGCTTCACTCTATCCCTTCTCGCGTCACTATATGTCCCCCTCATGCCTCCCCCCATGCCTCCCCCCATGCCTCCCCCCATGCCTCCCCCCATGCCCCCCCCCCCCCATGCCTCCAACCATGCCTCTCTCCCCATGCCTCCCCCCATGCCTCCCCCCATGCCTCCCCCCATGCCCCCCCCCCCCCCCATGCCTCCAACCATGCCTCTCTCCCCATGCCTCCCCCCATGCCTACCCCAATGCCTCCCCCATGCGTCCCCCATGTTCCCCCACGCCCCCCCAATGCAACCGCAGGTGGCCCATATGCGACGCGCTAATCGCCTTCTACTCCACGGGCTTCCCCCTCGCCAAGGCACAGCAATACGCCGCCCTACGCAAGTACGTACGGGTGCCTTGCAATAAAAGTGCATGTGTGTTGCCACGTGCACCCTGTGTGCTGCCACGTGCACCTGTGTGTTGCCACGTGCACCTGTGTGTTGCCACGTGCACCTGTGTGTTGCCACGTGCACCTGTGTGTTGCCACGTGCACCTGTGTGTTGCCACGTGCACCTGTGTGTTGCCACGTGCACCTGTGTGTTGCCACGTGCACCTGTGTGTTGCCACGTGCACCTGTGTGTTGCCACGTGCACCTGTGTGCTGCCACGTGCACCTGTGTGTTGCCACGTGCACCTGTGTGTTGCCACGTGCACCTGTGTGTTGCCACGTGTGCACCTGTATGCACGAGCACATCCTCTTGAGCAAACGGTTCTCTTTCATGGGTTTACTGACAATGGTGACAGTATTGTGCTTGCTACCCATTTACTTCCGTTCCTACTGCAATTTCATGTGAGTCCCACTCGTACCTTTCCCATCGCTCCTATCTCCATCCCACTCTCCCTTCTCTCCCATCTCACCCCTCTCCCGTTCTTCCCACTCTTCCCCCTCTCCCATCTCGCCTCTCCCCCACACACCTCGCCTGCACGGCAGGCCCTATTTGGTGAACGAGTTGGAGCCACAGTGGCTGCTGCACGACAGGAGGAAGGTGTATGCGGTGAGTGCGAGTGCACATCATCGTACTGGGTCATCTGCTACCAGCGTTGGCTGTGCTCCCAGCTTGACCTAGCAGCTTGCCCACATGCTTCCCCCACTCTGCCCACATGTCCCTCCCCTCCTCTCCCCACCCTCCTCATTAATCAGAAGCTGGAGGAGCACGGGCTCATGATGTGCACATATGCTATAGTCTGGACTGCTTCCGCTGCCCACACGCCCCTTCCCCCCCCTCCCCTCCCCCCCTTGACTCCCCCTCCCCATCTACCAGAAGCTGGAGGAGCACGGGCTCGTGATGCCGACGTACGCCATAGTGAACCGCGAGGAGGAGGGGGAAGAAGGTCAGGACTGCTCTCCCTGCCACATTTCGCTCCCTATGTGCCCACACGCCCCTCTCCCCTCATTCCCCTCCCCCTCTACCAGAAGCTGGAGGAGCACGGGCTCATGATGCCCACGTACGCCATAGTGAACCGAGAGGGCGACGGGGAGGGCGCGGAGGAGGAGTTTGAGGAGGAGGAGGACTACGTGGTCATCGCTGGGAAGCGCATCAACAAGCCCTTCGTGGAGAAGCCTGTAGATGGTGGGTGGGTGCATGCATGCGTGGTGGGTGCATGGGCAGTGGGTGCATGGGCGGTGGGTGCATGGGCGGTGGGTGCATGAGGACAGGGACAGGGAGGGAAGAGGAGGGCTCCGTGGTCATCGCTGGGAAGCGCATCAACAAGCCCTTCGTGGAGAAGCCTGTAGATGGTGGGTGGGTGCATGCATGGGTGGTGGGTTCATGGGCGGTGGGTGCATGGGCGGTGTGTGCATGAGGACAGGGACAGGGAGGGAAGAGGAGGGCTCCGTGGTCATCGCTGGGAAGCGCATCAACAAGCCCTTTGTGGAGAAGCCCGTTGACGGTGGGTGCATGTGCGGTGGTGGTGGATGCGGTGGTGGTGGGTGTGGTGGTGGTGGGTGCAGGGGCAGTCAGTGCAGGGGCGGTGGGTGCAGGGGCGGTGGGTGCAGGGGCGGTGGGTGCAGGAGCGGTGGGTTTTTTGGGCCTGAGGGCTGGTGGCCTGTGAATGATGCTTCTCCCTAGGAGTCGTTTTCCCCTCCCTAGAAGAGCATTTTTTATAATCAAGTCATCTCGTACGCGTGAGGTAGCCTGCCCAACTGCCTTCCCGCCCATCCCCATCTCCTCTCCCCCACACCCCCTCTTTTCCTACTCTCCTATCCCCAATTCCCCACACCCCCTCCCGTCTTTCCATGCCCGTTATGCATGATGTCACTACCACCAGGCGACGACCACAGTGTGATGATCTACTACCCCAGCTCTGCAGGGGGCGGCATGAAGGAGCTCTTCAGAAAGGTACTGCCTGCTGGGGTGCGTTTAACAAGTGGCAATGAAAGCTACACTTGCTGCTGTTGTTTTTCTGTTTTTTGTATCTTGAGAATAAATTAAAAAAAAAAAAAAATACAGTGCATCTACCAGTGCTTAAGAAAACAGCACTCGTTTTTCCAATCCCTGTCTCTCCATTCCTTCGGTCTCACCTCACCTCGCATTAGCACCACCACCCCTCCTCTCCCCCATCTCTCCTCTCTCCTGAAAGGTGGGCAATCGGTCGAGTGAGTTCCATCCAGACGTGCGCCACGTGAGGCGCCACGGCTCCTACATATACGAGGAGTTCCTCCCCACAGGTGCTCTCTTGCTGCCTCTCGACTCCCTTGAAAGGTGGGCAATCGCTTTAGTGAGTTCCACGGTCCACCCGGACGTGCGCCACGTGAGGTGCCACGCACGGCTCCTACATATACGAGGAGTTCCTCCCCACAGGCAAGCTCCACAGCACTAGTGGTATCAGATCTACCACTGGGAGCTTGCTGCGGAAGTGAGGAATCCATCCATCCGTTTCTCAGCTGCGCCATGTGAGGCGCCACGGTTCCTACATCTATGAAGAGTTTCTTCCCACAGGTGTGCTCTTTGCTGCCCACAGGTGTGCTCTCGTGGTCATGTTGTGCCCATATTGAAGACATATTGTTTTTCTTTGCATTCCTTGCCAAATTCTTTCCATTCTCGTGGTCATGTGTGTGGTCATGTGTGTGGTCATGTGTGTGGTCATGTGCGTGGTCATGTGTGTGGTCATGTGTGTGGTCATGTGTGTGGTCATGTGTGTGGTCATGTGTGTGGTCATGTGTGTGGTCATGTGTGTGGTCATGTGTGTGGTCGTGTGTGGTCATGTGTGTGGTCATGTGTGTGGTCATGTGTGTGGTCATGTGTGTGGTCATGTGTGTGGTCATGTGTGTGGTCATGTGTGTGGTCGTGTGTGGTCATGTGTGTTGTCATGTGTGTGGTCATGTGCGTAATGATGATGTGCATGTGCGGTGCGGGGCCACCATTCTGGCTGGCTGGCATCATCATGATGCTTCGTGCAGGGGCCACAGACGTGAAGGTGTACACGGTGGGGCCGGACTATGCGCATGCGGAGGCACGCAAGTCACCTCACCGATGACTTTTGAGCCGACTCAAAAGCACTGCTCAATTATTCTCTATGATTCCATGATCATGTGTACAAAATAATAATGCGTTTGGCAGGGGGCACGGATGTGAAGGTGTACACGGTGGGGCCGGACTATGCGCATGCAGAGGCACGCAAGTCGCCCGTGGTGGATGGTGTTGTCATGCGCAGCGCCGACGGCAAAGAGGTGCGCTGCGTCCTGCCAGAGGGGGGTTGGTTGGGGGGCTGGATATGTATGTAGCTCTTTCCATGGGTGGCCTGTGTGGTTGCTGCGAGCAAGCTCATCTCACGCTCCTATTCACTTGTGCAGAAGGGCAAGGAGGTGAGGCCACGCTTCCTCCCAGGGGGTTCCACTCAGATGGTTGTTCTGGATAGTACGATGCACGTGGAGGGCAGAGAGAAAGCAGTCAGAAGATATTCTGTCCCACTCAATATTTTTCCAGCACCCTTTTTTTCCGTGCCCTTTGACCCTGTATTTCGCACCTCGCTCAAGCATACTCACACACATCTTGACTCGCCTGTCCATGCATGCACTACTCTCCATCCCTCCCACTGCCCTCTCCATCCCTCCCACCATTCTCTCTTCATTTATTACTGAGTAGCCCCCCTCCCTCCTCCCTTGTGTCTCTGCTAGATCCGCTACCCTGTGCTGCTGACGCCAACAGAGAAAGAAATGGCACGGGTCATCTGTCTTGCGTTCGGCCAGGCGGTCAGTCATGTAGCTTAGCTTAGCTTAGCTTAGCTTAGCTTAGCTTAGCTTAGCTTAGCTTAGCTTAGCTTAGCTTAGCTTGCAGTGTATGCTGCTGCTCATCCCACCTCTACTTCCGTGTCAACATTTTTTGAATACACCGTTTCTTTGCCCACTATCGGTGCCCCACTCTGTCCCCACCGTGCTGTCTGTTGCCTCATCCCTCCGCTCACCCACGTATCCCATACCATATATACCTTTTGCCTTCCAGGTGTGTGGCTTTGATCTGCTGCGCTCGCATGGACGCTCCTTCGTCTGTGACGTCAACGGCTGGAGCTTTGTCAAGAACTCCACCAAGTTAGCACTGAGCTCTCTTTGTGCTACTGGCAGTATCAGAATACTATCTAGAGAGTTGGAACAGCAACTAACCACAGTCTCACAGCTCGATTTCTGGAAGAGGACAACCAAGCATCGAGGGAATATAATAAGGGCATGTTTTTTGTGGGAAATTTGAATGCCACTTAATTCGCATCCTGTCAATAGAACCGGTCGCCCCTCTGTCGGCGTTCTTTCCGTCAATTCAGCCCACCCGCCCGTGCCCTTGGCCTCTTGCCTGCATGCAGGTACTACGACGATGCAGCATGTGTGCTGTGAAGCATGCTGCTGCGCGTCGTGACACCCCACCTCGACTCACCACTGCCCGAGCTCCTGTTTTGAGGCGTCTCAAAACCCGCCCCCTCGGTTTCCCCCCTGTCAACCGAATTGCTCGCTCCCCCACGCACAGGTACTACGGCGATGCAGATGCAGCGTGTGTGCTGTGCTGCGAAGCATGTTGCTGCGCACCATGGCCCCGCCCCTCAGCTCTACTCGTTGTTGCCCGTGCTCCTGTTTCGAGACGTCTCAAAAACCATCCCCTTGTCGGTTACTCCATTCCCCTACACACAGGTATTACGACGATGCAGCGTGTGTGCTGCGAAGCATGCTGCTGCGTGCCGTGGCACCGCACCTCTACTCGCCGCTGCCCGTGCGCCTGCCCTGGTCCTCCGGACCCGATGCAGCAGCAGCAGCAACAGGAGCGGCATTGGACGGCACGACATCGCCGGACTATGAGCGCACGCTCAGTGCGAGCAGCTTCAACAGCACACACACGTTCGGCACAAGAGAGGAGCTGCGCTGCGTGATTGCTGTCATCCGCCAGTGAGTGGGGCTGCCGGGGGAGGGGGAGAAACAAGGGAGGGGGGGGGGGGAGGTGGGTTGATGTGTGATTGCTGCACTGCGTGATTGCTGTCATACGCCAGTGAGTGGAGGTGTGTGGGGGGCCTGCTGGAGTGGTGCTTGTTGGTGAGACTGGTGGGATGATGCTTTGTGAATGATTGCAGACAGAACGAGTCATTGACTTGACACATCCCCTCCCTTCTGGTCCCTCCTATGTTGCCCTTCCCCCATGGGCAGTGGCGACCGCACGCCGAAGCAGAAGGTGAAGCTGGTGGTGAGGCAGGAGCGGCTGCTGAAACTCATGCTCAAATACAACGGCGGCAAGCCCCGCTCCGAGGTAACGCGGCGGGGGCAGGCAGGCAGGAGTGTGAGGTGTTAGGAGGCAGTAAGGCTGGTCGGGTGAGCGGCGTAGGAGGTGTTTAAGAGAGTGGTGGTGGCTTGCAGCTGCAGGCAGGTGGGCACTGCGGCGCGGCTGCAGGCTTGAGAGTAACTCGTGGACCTAGAGGGCAAGGACATGTGCGCATGCACACGTGGCTTGAGAGTGACTCGTGGACCAAGAGGGGGATGTGAGCACAAGGACATGTGGATGATCGCATGGTCGCATGTGCGCATGCATGCACACTCCATGGTGCCTGGCGGAGGCCCGCTTGCTTGCACACCCCTATGCTGCCACCCCCCACCTGCTTCTGCTAGGCTAACCTGATTGCCCCAAAGGCTGCACTGTTTCCTAAGAGCCCTGTGCGCCCATCTCTCTTCTCTGTCTTCTCCCTCCTCCCCCCTCGACTCAATCATTCTCGTATTCTCTGCACCCTTCCCGCTCCCCCCACTGGCCGCCCCCACTGGCCGCCCCCACTGCATGGCATGGCATGGCAGGCGAAGCTGAAGAGCGCAGTGCAGCTGCAGGACCTGCTGGACGCCCTGCGCGCCCTCGTGCCGCACCAGAGGTGCGTGTTGCTTTGGTGGTTAGTTGTTAGGAAGGGTATTGCCTTAAGCTTTTTTTTTTTGCTTCGTTCTTGTTGCTTGAGTATCAGCTTAGAGGCGCATCAAAGAAAATTGTCATCGCATATAATTTGCTACCTGCCTGCAGCGTCCTCTGTTGCCCCAACGTCCGCTCGCTCACCACTCTTCTGGCATCGCAGATCGAGTCGACGTAACGGCGCTTCTCCACTGCACACTGCCCATGATGCCTTCTGCCCTCTTCTCCTGCCCTAACCTTGCTGCGACAGCAGGGACGGCAGCGACAGCGAGACGGAGGACTTTGAGAATGCAGAGAAGCTGAGGCACGTGAAGGCCGTGCTGGAGGAGGTGAGGCCGTGCTGGAGAAGGTGAGGCCGTGCTGGAGGAGGTGAGGTTGCAGCCGTGAGCTTTCAGTGTTGGCCCTGAGCTTGCTCACGAGTATCATTGTGTCAACACAGGAGTGGAGGAGGCAAGGCCATGCATGCTTACGAGGCAAGGCCATGCATGCTGCTGGATTCTGAGAATTCTCAAAAACCAGCTATTCAAAACACCCTCGCGTCGCGTGCATACACTCCGACCCCCCCCCCCCCCCCCCCCTCCTGCTCGTTCACTTGTTGCTCCTATGCTATTCCCCCCACGCACAGGGAGGGCATTTCTCGGGGATATACCGCAAGGCGCAGCTGAAGCCGCAGAAGTGGGAGCGAGTGCAGCGGAGGGACAGCAGCGGGGCGGAGGTGGAGGTGGACGAGCCCACAGAGGCCCTCATGGTGCTCAAATACAGCGGCGTGCTCACCCACGCTGGCAGGGCACAGGTGGGTGAGATATTCGCTTATGCCTGTGAACAGGGTAGGTGGTGTGGCAGGCAGTAGGTGGGGAGGCAGGCAGTAGGTGGGGAGGCAGGCAGTAGGTGGGGAGGCAGGCAGTAGGTGAATGAATCTGTGTCGCTGTTGAGAGCTCGGGACAGCAATGGCAGCGAGGTGGAGGTGAACGAGCCCGCTGAGGCCCTCATGGTGCTCAAGTATGGCGGCGTGCTCACCCACGCTGGCAGGCAGCAGGTGGGTGGGGCGGTAAACAGCAGTAGCACAGGCAGAGAGCAGGTAAGGTATTCCCCTTTCACTGCTTTGTAGCCCACACTCAGCTGGGCATGGAGGTCGCAGGGAGGAGAGGAACCACAGCTGAGGCTCACACCCCTTGTGACGCACACAGCTGACGCATGTCTCTTCCCTCACCTTGACTTGTCTCGCAAAGCAACCAACACACCGTGTAACCTTCTCCCTCATTCCTCTTCTTCCTTCCCCCGCAACCCTGCCCCCTCCCCTCCGTTTCTCCCTGGCACTTATCAGGCGGAGCATCTGGGTCGAGCATTTCGAGAAGCCATGTATCCTGGTAGGGGCTTGTATGTTGGGTAAGGCCACGCATGTTGGTACGGCCAAGCGACATGCCATGTTTATAAGTCCACGCGTGCCTCGTGTATCATGCAGTGCTTGCATGCAATTCGCACACGTGATTGAGCCACAAGCATGCAAGCAACTGCGTGATTGAGCCACAAGCATGCAAGCAACTGCGTGATTGAGCCTCAAGCATGCAAGCAACTGCGTGATTGAGCCTCAAGCATGCAAGCAACTGCGTGATTGAGCCACAAGCATGCAAGCAACTGCGTGATTGAGCCACAAGCATGCAAGCAACTGCGTGATTGAGCCTCAAGCATGCAAGCAACTGCGTGATTGAGCCACAAGCATGCAAGCAACTGCGTGATTGAGCCACAAGCATGCAAGCAACTGCGTGATTGAGCCACAAGCATGCAAGCAACTGCGTGATTGAGCCACAAGCATGCAAGCAACTGCGTGATTGAGCCACAAGCATGCAAGCAACTGCGTGATTGAGCCACAAGCATGCAAGCAACTGCGTGATTGAGCCACAAGCATGCAAGCAACTGCGTGATTGAGCCACAAGCATGCAAGCAACTGCGTGATTGAGCCACAAGCATGCAAGCAACTGCGTGATTGAGCCACAAGCATGCAAGCAACTGCGTGATTGAGCCACAAGCATGCAAGCAACTGCGTGATTGAGCCACAAGCATGCAAGCAACTGCGTGATTGAGCCACAAGCATGCAAGCAACTGCGTGATTGAGCCACAAGCATGCAAGCAACTGCGTGATTGAGCCACAAGCATGCAAGCAACTGCGTGATTGAGCCACAAGCATGCAAGCAACTGCGTGATTGAGCCACAAGCATGCAAGCAACTGCGTGATTGAGCCACAAGCATGCAAGCAACTGCGTGATTGAGCCACAAGCATGCAAGCAACTGCGTGATTGAGCCACAAGCATGCAAGCAACTGCGTGATTGAGCCACAAGCATGCAAGCAACTGCGTGATTGAGCCACAAGCATGCAAGCAACTGCGTGACTGTTCGCCGCACACACCTTTGACTTAGCGATGTGTGTTGCACCGTGCAGTGCAGCACTTTCAACAACACATGCCCCTTCCGATGGCCACCCGTATCCCGCAAGTCATGCACCTCTCACCTCCCTCCTTTCATCCTCTCTTCCTCCCAACCCACCTACTCTCTCCACTCTCGTTTTCTCTCTCCTCTCTCCCCTGCTCTCTTCGCTCTCTGCTCTATTCCATTGCTCCTCTTCTCTTCTCCTCTCTCCTCATGTTCGGTTGCTCCCCTCCCCTCCCCTCCCCTCCCCTCCCCTCCCCTCCCCTCACCCCCATGCACATCCTCCTCCACTCCCCCATCCCGGCAGACGAGATGGGATCAAACGGCACGGGGCTGCTGCGCCTGCACAGCACATACCGCCACGACCTCAAGATCTACAGCTCTGACGAGGGGCGCGTGCAGGTGGGCACTGGGGGCATAGGGCAGGGCAGGTGCGCGCTCAGGGCAAGTGGGCTGTCCGTGGTGGTGGGCACTGGGAGCAGGACAGGTGCTCTCAGTGCAGGAGGGGTTCTGAGTCGACTCAAAGCACGTACCGCCATGACCTTAAAATATATAGCTCCAATGAGGGCCGCGTGCAGGTGGGAAGGCGGGGGCAGGGCGGGTGGTTGGGCGCGCAGTGCAGGTGGGGCTTGGTGGCAGGCAGGCAGGCGGGCAGGCGGGCAGGCGGGGCAGGCGGGGCAGGCGGGGCAGGCGGGGCAGGCGGGGCAGGCGGGGCAGGCGGGGCAGGCGGGGCAGGCGGGGCAGGCGGGGCAGGCGGGACAGGCGGGCAGGTGGGGCAGGCAGGCAGGCGGGGCAGGCGGGGCAGGCGGGGCAGGCGGGCAGGCGGGCAGGCGGGCAGGCGGGCAGGTGGTGCACGTGGGGCCATGGGATTGCTAGTGGGGGTGTGTGACCGAGGCAACCAGGTGGGGGTATTGCCAGCCTCGGTGGGGAAAGGAAAGGGAGAGCTCATTCAATCAAGCAACTAGTAAAACTGTCCGTTATTTCGCTCACTCGTGTTTTCCCCCTTGTGTGTGCCTCCGTGCCTCCCTGCCCCCGTGTGCAGATGTCAGCAGCGGCGTTCACCAAGGGTCTGCTGGATCTGGAAGGGCAGCTCACGCCTATCCTGGTGCGCGTCACTTCCAATTCCTGCCTTTACTTGCACGCCTGCACTTTCGACTCTCTATTCACCACCTTGTCCTCTCGCGTTCTGAGACGTCTCAAAAGTCTGTTCCACAACATGTTACTAACTTACCACACCACCTTATCCTCTCGCGTTCCCTCTCTGTGCTTGATTTTTCGAACGGCTGGTTCGCATCGACCTGGTATCATACGTCCTCACTCGCAACTTTTCTCTCCTGCACTGGCTGCACTGCAACCTGTATGCACGGGTGCATGGGTTTGTAAATGCTCGTGCACACATGAATGTGTGCACATATGTATGCACGTGTGTGTGTGCACATGCATGTGTGCCCATGTCATCATGCAGGTTAGTCTGGTGAGCAAGGACTCACCCATGCTTGATGGGCTCGACTCCGCCTCAATTGAAATGGAGCATGCCAAGGTGAGCATGTTTGAGAATTCTAAAAGGTACACGGCGCTGAGTTAGTGGCTCTAACAAGCGAAATCACTCAGAGCTCCATCAGATCAGTTCATTGTGCTCCCAGTTAGCCACCTCGCCCACCACAGAGCAAGCTTGTGAGGCGATGACCACCACCGACCTCTCAACGACCCCGGTCTGCTATCACCTAGAAACAAGCCTCCATGCATGGGGCTACACATCCCTGACTGCCTGTCTCCTTCATCTCCCTGCACTTCTCACTCCCCTCCGTGCTCTTTCCCGTCCTCTCCTCACATAGAGCGCATGCTAGGCGAGATGAGACCCACAACCAACAACCCCTTCCGATGCTGTCACCTAAAATCACCCATGCATGAGACCCACCGAGCACTCACCTCCACTCCCTTACCCCCCCGCTCATTCCCCTCCCTCCTCCCACAGCGCAAGCTGGGTGAGATGATGACGACCAACGACCCACCGGTGCTCTCGCCCACCCATGGCCAACCCCCCGCGGCACACAGCCCGCGCCGGCCATCGCAGTCGCGGTCGCACTCGCGCAGCAGCAGTAGCAGCAGCAGCCACGGAGGGGCGCACCCTGCTGGGCCGTGGATGACTGATGCGCCCTGGCTGCCTGACCGGCCCCTCAGCAAGCTGCACAAACTGGTGCGTGAGTGTGTGTGTGCGTGCGCGCGCGCGTGCATGCGTGCGTGTATGTATGTGGGTGTCTGCTCATGTCCTGTGCGTCTTTCTCTGGCATCTCCAAGATCTCCCTTTTCCCCGACTCTGTCCTGTCATCCAAAACATTTCTTCCAATGCTCCTCCATCTCCCTCGTTCGCACCCTTTCCACATCCCGTGCCCTCCTCTTGTCCGCTGTGTATCTGTGTGTTGGGATGGAGCCGATAAACGCGGTGGCGGCATGCGTGTCACTCCCGCTTACCGCCTCGCATGCCCTTCCATGGCCTCCCATGGCCTCCCATGGCCTCCATGCCTTCCCATGGCTTCCCATGCCTTCCCATGGCTTCCCATGCCCTCCATGCCTTCCCATGGCTTCCCATGCCCTCCCATGCCCTCCCATGCCCTCCATGCCCCCAGGTGCCCCTGATAAATGCTTTGCACTGCGCATGTCTTGCCTCTTCCCCGTCATTCTCATCCTTTCCCCACCCTCTCACAAGTAGTGCTGATAAAGGGAAAATGGCGGGTTTTTAGGCGCCTCAAAAGCCAACCCCCCCCTCCACCCCCAACCCCCCAGGTGGAGCTGATAAAGGCGCTGGCAGCGCACGCCAAGGAGAAGTGCCGCGAGGACGACGTGGACGGTGCACTGGAGGCCAAGGTGGAGTAAGCTGTCAAGAAGCTTCGCATCGTGCCCGTGCCGGCACAGCACAAGGCGGAGGTGGGGGAGCAGCAGCAGAAGGGTGCGGGGGAGCAGCAGGGCGGGGCGCAGCAGCAGGGGGGAGGGAAGCAGAAGGCTGTGCCTTATGATGGGACGGTGCTGGGGAAGGCACGGTTTGATGAGAGCCGCATTGCGGCAGGGCTTCCGTGCGGTACGGAGGAGTTTCTGCTCATCTTTGCACGGTGGAAGAAGCTCGAGCGCGATATCTACAACCCGCGAAAGGAGTGAGTGTGGTGGGGGAGGGGGAGCGTGTGGGAGGGAGTGAGTGTGAGTTGAATGCAATGAGTGAGTGTGGGTTGGGCGAAAAGAGACTGGGTTTTGCAAGGGGAAAGGGAGCGACGGGACGGCTCGTCTCTGGTGTGCTATGTTCCTCGCTTCGTTTTGCTGTCTCACCTACGGTCTCTCTCCTCCTCCTCCTGTCCCCCTTTTCTCCGCCCTCATCCCCCTTTGCCTTCCTCCAGTCGCTTCAACATCAGCACGATCCCTGACGTCTACGACTCTGCCAAGTGCGTTGCGCTGTGCCTTGTCCACGCACGCTCATGCACACACTCAGCACTCACAGATGCACATCGGCACGCACTCACGACTGTGCTGGGTGCGTGGCTCTGCGTCTTGTCTTGTCCACACACGTGCAGGCACACACGCACGCACATGCACACACACATGCGAGCGCGTGCGCGCGCGCGCGCGCACACACACACACACACACACGCGCGCGCGCACGCACGCACATGCGGCATGCACATCTCTGCAGACATACACACTCCTGGCACATGCAAAGTATTGTCTTTTGAGACGTGCAAAGTATTGTCTGCAAACCTGCTCTGCTCCTCCCCATGCCCCTCACTTCTACCCACAACCCCACATGCCCCTTCCCACATACACCTCCCCCGGGTACGACCTGGTGCACAATCGCCACCTGGGCCTCAAGGGGCTGGACGAGCTCTACCTGCTCGCCAAGGCACGTCACTTGCTCCTCGCATGTGAAGTGTTGCTCCATGCATGTGAAGTGTTGCTCCATGCATGTGAAATGTTGCTCCATGCATGTGAAATGTTGCTCTTTGCATGTTGAATGTTGCTCATTGCTCGTAGATGTTGCATGTTGCTCGTTGCTCGTAGATGTTGCATGTTGCATGCTGCTGCTGCACGCTGTGTGTTGCACGTGTTGGCCCATTTTGTATCGTTCCCATTGTTAGAAATAGGCTGTCAACGCTGTGTGTACTCTATTTTATATGCTGTAGGTTATTTGTGGGTTGGGTGTAGATTTGTAATCCCAACCCTATCCGGTTGAGATTCCCCCGTAATCCAGCAAATCTGCCAACTCACCATTGGAGATTTGCTTGGATTCCCATCCCATCCTTTCCCTAGCTTTGCTCAACCCAGGCTTGTTTGTACTTAAGGCCTAGTGCCTCCTATTCTAATCAATCTATTCAAGCTCCATGTCTATCACCCATTCCATGTGTCGCCATCTTCCTGTCATCCCCATCATGCCACGCGCGCCTCGTACTGCTTAGGACGTGGTAAAAGTGCAAATATCGCAGGGTTGTCTGCAAATATCGAGCCCCACAATCGAGTGGGCAGATCGATTGGCGAAACGTGGCGACCGCAACATTGTAGCGATCGCACCTGAGAATTGACAGATCTCCCGCGACTAGTGATCAGTCGCATTCACACACTGTACAGAAAAAGTGGCCATAAAGTGTACTGTAGCATGGTTACAGCGTAGTGAATAGGGTAACCAATCTGCACATCGATCACGACTGACGATTGATCGTCTACTTTTACCGCGTCCTTACTTGCTGCCAACTTGCTTCTCTGTTTGTGTCCACCAGGAGATGGCAAACGGGGTCATTCCAAACGAGTACGGCATCACACCCTACAGCAAGCTCAAGATCGGCGCTAAGGTCAGTCCCTCCCGTCCCTTGACCTCCTGTTCCTCGTGCCCATGAGGTAGTGTGTTGCCTGCTAGGGAAGACACTGATCGACCTCCCCCTCCCTCTTGCCCACCACCCTTCAGGTGGCACGGCGGCTGCTGGGAAAGACGCTTACCTTCCCTCCTTCCCCTCTCTCCGCTGCCCTCCCATCTCCCCCCCCCCCCCTCCTCAGGTGGCACGGCGGCTGCTGGGCAAGATGCTGATCGATCTGCACAACACATAGACACAGCATGTGCCCGTGCCCATCAAATTCCCTCCCTTCCCTCATCCCTCCTCCCTCGTTGTTCCCCCTCTCAGGTTGCTCGTCGCCTGCTGGGCAAGATGCTGATCGATCTGCACAACACGCGGGACGAGGCGGTGGCGGTGGGGCAGGCGATGCAGCAGCACCGGCAGAGCCTGAGGGAGCAGCGCGCGGCAGCGGTGGCGGCAGCGGTGTTCAACCAGGAGCAGCAGCGGCAGCACCGACGGTCGTCCGGTGAGGCCAAGCGGCGGTCTGATGGGCACCCGGAGGGCGATAATGACGACAGCAACGCTCAGTACCGACTAGATCCCAAGTGAGTGTTGTGAAGACCATTTCTGAGATCTTAAATGATTATGACAGCAATGAACAGTACCGACTGGACCCCAAGTGAGTGCAGTGACCGCCAAGTGCACGGTGCAGTGAAGTGAATGTACTAATGAGAAGTCTCATTCATGAGACAGCAACTTGAGGTAGTGGTCAACCCAAGTGAGTGCATGGAATGTTGGGTAGTTGACATGGAATGTGCATGAGCAAAGAGGCGGAGACCCCCCTGGATGGGTGGAGGACGTGTGTGACTAATCAATGTGCTTGCTGGTGTTTGCCCCTTGTTTTCCCGTGCGTGCCTGGTTGCAGGTACGCCAATGTGCGAACTCCGCAACGCCACGTGCGCACTCGCCTCTACTTCACCTCTGTAAGCATTCTTGTCAAGGCACCTTGAGACGCCCCGCACCTTGACACGCCCCGCACCTTGACACGCCCCGCACCTTGACACGCCCCGCACCTTGACACGCCCCGCACCTTGACACGCCCCGCACCTTGACACGCCCCGCACCTTGAGACGCCCCGCACCTTGGGACGCCCCGCACCTTGTGCATGTGAAGTGGCCCTGCACACCTGCACAGTGTGATGAACGTGCTGCGCTTCTGCCAGCTGGAGTTTGAGACGTCTCACCCATTCGTCCATCCATAAACCACAGTCCCCACCCCCCACCCCCCTGCGCAGGAGTCGCACCTACACAGTGTGATGAACGTGCTGCGCTTCTGCCAGCTGGACGACTCACTGCAGGGCGAGGCCTCCCTGCTGAGTCCCGATGCCATGACTCGACTCTATGAGACGCGCGAGCTCGACTACCTCACGCACGTGGTGCTGCGCATGTACGAGAACGTGGAGGTGAGCGACCCTGCATGCCCTTTTCTCTTAGGAGCGGGAAGGTTTGCACCCTGCACGCCCTTTTACCCTTCCATTTCCTCCCAGCCCAGCCCCTCTTGCGTTCCGCCCATACGAGGCACCGCTGCTCGACTACCTCACGCACGTTGTGGTGCACATGTATGAGAACGTAGAGGCATGCTCCCTACACGACCTTCTACCTCCCTTCTGTTCCTTCTCAGCTTCTCTTGTGTTTTGCCGATGTGTCCCACTCCCCCTTCCCTTCCCATATCCTCCTCATCTGCTTCTAAGCGGTCCTCATCCGCTCCTCTCGCTCCAACCCCCATCCCCTCCATACCAACCACATTACCCCACCCGCCATCAACCCCGCTCACTATCAACCACACTCACTATCAACCCCGCTCACCATTCCCCCCACCCACCATGGCCCGTCAGGTGGATCTGAACGACTTGGCCGCGGCGGTTCCGAGTGGAGATCATGTTCAGCCCGGGCTCGGCTGTGAGCCCTCTCGAGGTGAGTCGTTGGCCGCTGGTCTCCTCATATACCGCGCACCTGCTGCCATGGGTACCCATCCCTTCCCACCCACAGCCCACGCTCTCCCTCATCCATCCATCACCATCCCTTATCTCCCCGACTCTCCTCGCAACGTGTACCCCTAGCCTTGCCATACCAACAATTCTCGGGCAAGATGCTGCCCAATGCCGCACACTTTGACCGGGCATGCAACACAGCTCATCCCACCCCCCTGTTACACCTCTCATCCATCTGCTTTCACCATTGCAGGTGGAACCACCGAAGGATGACCACATGTTGCAGCCCAGTTCACCCAACCCCTCTCGCCTTTCATCCCCATTCCCCCCCAACTACAGGTGGAGCCATCAAAGAAGGACCACACACTGCCAGTGCTCCCCCCCTTCACAGTGCAGAACGACACGCCCGACACGCTCACCATGCGCCGCATGGACCGCATGCTGCATCCCTTCGCCATGCCGCCCGAGGACTTCCCGCCGCCCGTGCAGCCACAGGGCTTCTCCGGCCTCTTCCTCAAGGGCACTGTCTTCGAGCGCATCGTCAACTTCTGGCCCTTCCGCAACACTGCGGGCGGCGGCAGCAAGAGCAAGACCAGTGGCAGCAGTAGCAGCAGCAGCATTAGTGCTGTCGCCGCTGCAACGCCCGCTGCTGCTGCTGCTGCTGGTGCTGCTAGTGGGAGCAACACGTCTCTCTCTACCCTCCCACAACCGATCTCCAACACCAGCAGCAGCATCCCGATTCCATCAACCGCCACCACCACCAACACCAGCACCAGCGGCAGCAGCAGCAGCCTAAGCAAGGCAATCCAAGGCCGGGCCTCCCCTCTCCGAACCTCCTCAGGCTCGGGCCCCTTAGCTCCGTGTGCCGACCTGCCAGGCACGGGCAGGAGCCCTGGTGGCAGCCCTCTGCGGCTGTTTGGCCGTAAGGCTTCGGATGAGGGATCGGGGAGTAGTAGTGGGGGGCTGTGGCGGCGCGGGTCCGGGGGGTTGAGTGCGTGGGTGGGCGGGGAGGAGAGTAAGGGCAACACAGGCGGAAAGGAGGGGTAGGGTGCTGCAGAGGAGGGTGCTGCAGAGGAGAGTGCAGGGAAGGGAGCCATGCACTGGAAGCTGGTCCATTGACTTGAGCCCTCTGGCTCCCTGTGCAAGCCTGCCAGCCACAGGCACGAGCCCTGCGGGAAACTTTCTGAGGCTGTTTGGGCGCAAGGCTTCAGGTGAGGGGTCGGGGAGCATTGGTGGGAGGATATGGAGGTGGGGTCAGGAGGGCTGAGTGCGTGGGTGGGCAGGAGGAGAGTAAGGGCGGGGCGGGTGGACGCACGGCATCCTGTGCTGCTAGCCCTGGGAAGGAGGGGTAGGGGGGGGCTGGAGTGGAGGGTGCAGGGGAGGGTGCCATGCAGTGAAGGTTGGTCGATTGACTTGGGACCTCTGGCACTGTGCGCCGACCTGCCAGGCGTGGGAGGAGAGTAAGGGCGGGGCGGGTGGACGCTCGGCATCTTGTGCTGTTAGCCCTGGAAAGGAGGGGTAGGGGGCAGTGGAGGCCGCGGGGCAGAGGAGGGTGCGTTGGTGAGTGCGGTGGGTGGTGAAGGGGAGGCTGCAGTGGGTGGTGCAGTGGAGGGTGCGGGTGGTGCAGTGGAGGGTGTGGGTGGTGCAGTGGAGGGTGCGGGTGGTGCAGTGGAGGGTGGGTGTAGACAGTGAAGGGGAGTAAGACTGGGTTGTGTAGCAGTGGGAATAAAATTCTAGTGGGTGGTTCAGATTGATTCATTGATTGATCCTCTGTGGTGAGAAGTAGCACACATCATGCTTGCTGCATGGTGGTTCCCCTCGTTAAGAATTGGATAAGAGTTCTTTGGCAAGTATGTAAGGTGGCTCATCTTGTAGTGTAGCCTACCGTAATCTCCCGGCAAGAAGACCCCCCCGCGTACAAGCCCCTGGGTCCTTTATCCGGACCAAGGGTCTTTTATTATGTCATTCCTGTAGAGGACCCGTCTTTTGACCCTATTAAATATAAGACCCCCCCCTCTTTTGCAACGTGCTATAATGAGTGGTGTTTAGTTCATGAGCTGGTTAGCGAGTCACACAAAAAAACACCAAATTCACTTTGTCAGACGAATTTGTGGTCAAGGGAGTCAAGATGCCGCATCAATCACGCGTTTTTGCCGCCCTTCAGGCAAGAATTGCTGACGTGCATGTCATTATTCGGCATTACAGAACGTGCGGATAGGAATCACCGAGACTCGAGTGCGAGAATCTGAGAACAAATTTCCGCGTTGTGAAGGAATTCAAAATTCAGTACAATTTTTTTTCGAATTTCTTCAACACTGCACTCTACACAATCCATTTTTTGGTAATTAATAGATGTCCAGGGGTATGTACTATATACCATCACAGAAGACCCCACAACCTATTTTTGGCACATTTGGGATAAGACCGCCGGGTCTTCTAACCGGGAGATAAGGGTACGTTGGGGAAAATGAGGAGTAGCAGAAATGTTGTGATTCTTAAAACTCGCGTCTCATATTTGAGCATTTAAAACGAGGGTCTAGATTTGACAAGCGGAGGTTCAGAAGTTTTTGTTATGAACTAGGCTTGCCAGCGCGAAGGTGTTGGCTGGCGAAAATCTGGAATTCGTGCGAACAATTTTCCTCTGCAAAACTGTTCGCCAGGATTAGGGTTTCGGGTGGCAAATGTGCACCGTCGCTTGGTTGGAAGCTCGCTTCAGTGATTGGTTTCTGTTACGAATAGTAATACCAGAATATTATTGTGCACTCCTCACCGCAGCAAAGAGAAGCATGCAGTATCGAGAACGAACGCGAAGAGTCAGACGGTTAAGAATTGACTCGAAGCGTCAGACAGTTACAGCACATCTGGACCGTCGGAGCAGACGGCATCGGACAGCTGTCATCGGACGGCATCAAACATATATGCTGCATAGTGTCTAGGCTGTAGTGGGGTAGCCCATATGGGGTACAACCCAATTAGGGTTTACTACTTGTACTCCTGCATGCTGTTAGTTCATCATTCCTGCCTGTGATTTCAACATGGTTCAGAGCAGGAGGTCCTTAGGACCTACCGATCTTTTTTTAGGGCCCACCGTCGCACGCATGCGGTTACCACGCTACCCCGCGCCCTACCCTCGATGCGCCCTCGTTGCGCCCTAGCTGCGCCCTCGTGCGCCCTCGTTAGCGCCCTCGCGCGCCCTCGTTAGCGCCCTCGCGCGCCCTCGCTGCGCCCTCGCGCGCCCCTCGTTAGCGCCTTCACGCGCCCTAGTTAGAGCCCTCGTGCGCCCCTCGTTAGCGCCCTCGTGCGCCCGCGCTGCCCGCCCGTCGCGCTGCCCGCCGCGCTGCCCGCCGCGCTGCCCGCCGCGCTGCCCGCCCGTCGCACTGCCCGCCGTCGCGCTGCCTGCCGCGCAGCCCGTCCCGAGCCCGCGCGACGCGCGCGCGGCCCGCAGCTGCCCCGCGCAGCCCGTCCCGAGCCCGCGCGACGCGCGCGCGGCCCGCCGCTGCCCCGCGCAGCTCGCCTCAAGCCCGCGCGGCGCGTCCGCGGCCCGCAGCGCGCTGCGCGCCGTCCGCGCGGCCCGCGCCGCGCCCTACCCGCCAGTGCACGGCCCCCGGCAGCGGCTCGCGCCACCCTACCGCCGCCACGGCCCCACCCTGTCGCTGACACGACCCGGCCCCGCCGCTGACACGACCCGGCCCTGCCCTGCCGCTAACACGACCCGGCCCTGCCCTGCCGCTGCCACGACCCGGCCCTGCCCTGCCGCTGACTCGATCCGGCCCTTCACTGTAGCCGCTGCCGCGGCCCTGCTGTCGCCGCCGTCGTACGCCGACCCTGCCGCCGTCCGCCGAGCACCGGCCCTGCTCGCCCGGTGAGAGCCTGCTCTTCCTGCCACTGGTGAGCCCCTGCCTTGCTAGCGCGCTGCCGCGCCGCCTGCCTGCCTGCCTGCCTGCCTGTCGTGCCTGACCTGCTGCTACTGGCCGACGCCAGATGCAGCCCCAGCGACGTCCGCGTGAGTCCCTCACGCCCCAGCAGCTGCGTGAGTGGTACGCTAGTTGGGGTTGTAGGGGTGGCCGCGCTGCTACTGCTGCCACTACTGCTGCTGCTGCTACTGGCGGTGGCCAGATGCAGCTCCACTGTCGTCCACGCGAGTCTCGCACGCCCCAGCAGCTTCGTGAGTGGTACGCTCAGAGTAGAGGGTCTTTCAGTTCTGTTCGCTGCTCTTACGTCATTCGCACTGGTGCTCGGACTGGTCAGCCTTGCGGGACACCTAGTCACACACAGTCCCGCTGCTTCGCCCGTCTGAGTGACGCCTGGCGTACCGAGTTTGGCGACGGGGCTGAGCTCCCCGACTGGGTGGAGCTACTTAGGCAGAGAGTAGATATATTTGCTCTTGACTATGATGCTATTCTCACTGCCATGTATGCATTGCCTACTAGTGCTGACCGTGCCTGTTACCTGTGTGTACCGCCTGACCCAGGTATAGAGCCTGCTGCTCTAGGTGCTGGTGAGGCTGCTGCTCTAGGTGCTACTGCGTCTCCTGCTCTAGGTGCTGGTGAGGCTGCTGCTCCAGGTCCTGGTGAGTCTGCCCTCTCTGGTTCTTCGCCTGCTGCGACCCTGCACACCTTCACCCTTGACTCAGGAGCTTCCCGCTCCTTCTTTCGCGACTGCACCACACTCACGCCGCTTAGTCGGCCGGTTGCAGTCTCCCTGGCAGACCCCTCTGGGGGTCCAGTCCTTGCCCACTACAGCACGGTTCTGCCGTGTCCGGCCGCCCCGTCTGGCTTGCTGTCAGGTCTCTACCTCCCCTCGTTCTCTACGAACCTGGTGAGTGGAGCTGACCTCCAGGATGGGGGGGTTGACCAGTTCACTCCTGCGCGTCAGCGGGTGACTCACTGTACGTGTGCTCGGACGGGCCGACACCTGGCCACGTTCACCCGTGAGCCTGGCTCGAGCCTGTACACACTGACCACTGAGTCCCCTCAGGTAGCTGCGTCTGCGTCTGCGTCAGGTCAGCTGTCGGCCCCCTGCTTGTGTCGCGCCTTGTCGCACGAGACCCTCCTTTGGCACCACCGCCTTGGTCACCCCTCGGTGCAGCGCCTTCGCAGCATGCACCGTCGTGTCCTTATCTCGGGTCTTCCCAGGGTTCTCCCTCCCCTCCCACCCTCGCCTGCTCCTCCCTGTCTTCCCTGTTAGAATCTAGCAGCAGGAATGGATGAACTAACAGGATGCAGGAGTACAAGTAGTAAACCCTAACTAGGTTGTACCCCATATGGGCTACCCCACTACAGCCTAGACAATATGCAGCACATATAGTTTGACACACCCCCATAGGCAAAGTGGGGGAGAACAAGGGGTCACACGACCAGTCAAGAGAAGCAAAACAAGCTCAGGGTGGATCACAACGTCACCACGCATTCTGAGCACAAGCAAAGGGCCACTGGGCCAGTTCACATGCAGAGATATATACTGTATGCAGCAATAACAGTACAGTGATGGCTACCTAGCAAGAGCCAGCATGCATATATATATATGTACAGATCACAGTACAAGCAGAGACTACAGCAAGTGTGGAAACGTAGGCACAAGGCCTAACAGAGTACAAAAGCGCTGATGATCACCAGACGGAAGTGCCTTGGTGAATATATCAGCAGTGTTGGCCCGAGTGGCCACGTGGCGAAGACGAAGCTGGCCTCGCTGCTGCAACTCTCGAGCCAGGAAGTACCGCAGAGCAATGTGCTTCGTTCTGTGCTCCACTCTGTGCTCCTCACACAAGGCAATGGCGGCCTTGTTGTCAACGTACAGCACTGGAGGAGAACGAGGCTGCTCTCCCAAGTCAGTCAGCAGGTAGGTGAGCCAGCGTAACTCCTGTGCAGCCATGGCGGTGGCGTAGATCTCAGCCTCACAACTGGAGCCGAGAACTGAAGTCGAGCGTGTAGAACGCCACGAAACTGAACCAGAGCCAAGGCTGAAGGTGTAACCCTGTGACGACCGCTGAGTAGCCAGGTCGTCAACCCAAGAAGCGTCTGAGTGCCCAGTGAGGACAACTGGGCTCGTCCCTCCAAGCACTAGCCCCATGCCTGATGTGCTGCACAAGTAGCGCAGTACCCTCTTAGCAGCAGCCATGTGCTCAGGTCGGTGCCGACCAGGAGCCACGTAGCGAGCCAGGAGACCAAGAGGGTACGCGAGGTCAGGTCGAGTGCAAGTCATCAGGTACATGAGGCAGCCGACTAGCTCTGGGTAAGGACCACTCGGCTCTACGGACTCGTCCGAAGGTGGAGCTGAGAGCGTGTGACCTGTAGCCAGAGGAGTGGCCTGTGCTGAAGACCAGGTGAAGCCGAAGCGCTGAAGGACCTGCTGCACCATGTGTGACTGAGTCAAGGTGATGGTGCGGCGTGCTCTGTCCCGGGTGATCTGCAAGCCAAGGTAGCTGCGCAGCTCACCCAAGTCTGTGCACGTGTGTCTCTTCTGCAGCTCCGACTTCACGTGGGCGAGAGCCTCAGTGTCAGCAGTGGCAAAAACCAAGTCGTCGACGTACACGAGGATGTAGAACGGCGGCAGGGAAGTGTCGGTGCGCAGAAACAGCGACGGGTCAGCAGTAGAAGGCACGAACCCAAGAGCCGCAAGCGTAGTCCTCAGTGTGTCGTGCCACTCACGTGGCGCCTGGCGGAGACCGTAGACCGGCCGCCGGAGGCTCCACT